AAAAAAAAAATTCTCTCCCCCCCCCCCCCCCTAACTCCTTAAAATATATATTCACTCTTATTTATAATGTGGAATCCACAGAATTGATAAAATAACATTTTTTTCAATAATGGAAATGGTAAAGGATGAAGAAACTCCATAAACATATTACAAGAATTTATTAAGCTTCTGTACAGACAAATGTACCTTTAAAGAATAAAACTTGTTATTACATGATTCATAATATTGTGATATGGTTGAGTCGGACAGATGCATTAAGATGCATATCAATCGTCAAGCTCCTACCTTTTTCTATAAAATTGAATTAACAAACTTAAAATTTAATAATAGCAAATTGATGTCGAGTGCTCGACGACAGGGAATATAAAAAATGGCATCTTAGACTTAGGTTGAAGGCTTAAAGATACACAAACATCAACGAAAGGTAATATGTCTGATCTCCCAGCCCCTGTTTGGCGTGAAAATTAGTAATTTGTTTGAAATTAAGCCTTCGAATCAATTTTCATATGCTTATGCATAATCAAGTTTTCTTTTTAATTGATAGTGCTTATTCATGGTCATTTTAAGCCTTTTAAAAAACCATAATAAGAACTCGTAATTAGAGGTGAAACTGGGCCGGGCCGGCCCACAGGGGCCTACGACTCGGTCTACGTCAATTCAGACCTGACCTAGTATATTTCGTAAAATATGCTGAATTTGGGCCTTGAAAAAGCTTGTTTATTAAAAAGGCCGTAGGTCCACTTTCACAAGGCCTGGCCTATAAGCCTACAGGCCAGCCTATATTGTACTATTTATTTTAAATAAAATAAAATAGAATAAGTATGTCTTGAAGAAAATAATAAAAGATATAAATTTAATCAACTGTAATTATTTATAACTTAATTATATTGGATTATATTTTTATAGAAATCTAACTTTATTTCTTATATAGGAGAAACCAACATCTCAACATGTTAAATTGTGTATATGAATATATTAAAAGATTTTTGGAAGAAGTTATACTTACTACAAACATCATGATGTGATGTTAACTTTATTTCATGGTTTTGTTTGAAAGTTAAAAATTAACATACTAACGGGCTAGGTCAGGCTATTTGTTTTTTTATAAACGGGCCAAGTCAGGCTATTTTTTTTTATAAACGGGCCAAGTCAGGCTAACAGTTAGACTCGTAATAGGCTTGGGCCAGGCCAAATTGAATTTTTTTGGCGTAGGCTTGGGCTTTTCGGGTCAAAGCTTGGCCCAGCCTAGCTCACTTTCACCCCTACTCGCAATGACTCAGGGTGTATTGAATTGGGATTTTAATGAATTATTTTTGGGCAAAAAAATTCATTGGTATTCAATTAGAATTTTAAAAGATTGAAAAAAAGTTATGTAGTATTTGATTAGGATTTTAAAAGATTATTTTAGAGTTCGTCCAAATTCATTATATTCAATCACGATTTTAAACAAAGAAAAAAATAATATTGTGGTATTAAAAAATGGGGAAGGATATTGTGACAACCAAGTTTTGTTACTACCAAGTGACTACCAATCAATCTCACCATTAGATCGATTATGTTGATCCAACGGTTATATTTATTTCCATCTTTGTATGGTCATGATTCCCCATATTTAAAGTGAAAGCATTAAATATGGGAAATCATAACCATACAAAGGTGAAAATAAATATAAAGTATTAAATTTGGGAAATCATGACCATACAAAGATGGAAATAAATATAACCGTTGGATCAATATAATCGATCTAACGGTAAGATCGATTGGTAGTAACACAACTTGGTGGTCACAATATCCTTCCCCTTAAAAAATAATACAATTTTAATGAATTTTCTATTGGTATGAATTTCGTGAGATTTTCTAGTGAGACATATAAATAGGATGTCTCTCTCACAATCTCACCCTGACCCCTAAGATTTCTTGGAATTTTTTTAGTACAGTGTCTTTTTCTTCCTTTGGTGGGTCTATCCGCTCGAAACAGAGTTTCACCATGGGAGCTTTGTCAAAGCTCAAAAACAACAAATTTTTTAGCGATTTTCATCACAAAACAACTCAGAAACAACAATCCAACAAGATTTTAATCTAAAAATAGTAAATTTTGAAGCAATTTTTGAGAATTTTTGAAAGTTTAAAAACAAATTTTCAAGCTATTGGTCATGATTTTTCTTGGTAAGAAAATGTGTGATTTTTATATTAAAAACAACATAAAATAGTGGGAAAACAACAAGGGAACAAAAATCCCCCAAATCAATTTTCATTTTACATCAATGAAACAAGAGATCGATTTAAAGAAAGATTGAAACTTTCATAATATGAATCCTATCTTTCATAATAATACATTCATGAACAAAATTCTTTCACTATAGGAAATGATTTCAAACAATTTTTGTGTCAATAGATTACTAAAAATTTGTTTTTCAAAGCCCGCCAAAGCTAAGATTTCAATGTATCGATTGAAAATAATTTGAGAAATTTTCTAAACTTTCATGTAATAAAACCCAGAAATTCAGATTCAAAATTTCTTGGAATACTCAATGAAAACATGCATATGATATATGGTTAGAAAACTCTCATCTGATAGAACAAAACTCCCAAAGTTTACAAAATCAATTGCAAAAAATTTCAAACGAAAATTTATCATGAATTTTCTTAATTGAGAAAATTATATTACGTTTACTTTTTTTTATTAATATCATTGTATTTCTTTGTTAAATTTTTTTATTGACTATTATAATTTTGAATATTTGTTAAAAATTCATACGATTTTTTAAAATCTTAAAAATTCATATTGTCCCTTCAAATCATATAAATTATATTAAAATTCAATCTTATGAAATATTGATTGTAAAAAAAGTCTTTAAAGTCTCTTCAATTCTAAATAGTCTTTTAAAATCTATATAAAAATTTATCTAATTTTTTTTTAAATCCTAATCCAATATACCTTCGAAAGAGAAAACTCAAATTTATTTATTTAGAGCTCAAATGAGAATTGTAAATGTTTTTGCTTGTAAAGCGTCAAAATTTGCCAATAGTGTTTTTCTTATGGAGACGTTTACGAAGGCGAAGTTTGGTCCTGACTCATCTATTCTGGCTTTTTGATTCTTTTACCCCTCATTAATTAATTAATAACTATTTTGCCCCTTATTGAAAACTATCTACCAATCTGCCCTTCTTTAATCGATTAAGTTAAAGATTTAATCGATTAAATGGTCAAAACTGACAAAAATCGTTGACTTGAATATTTAATCGATTAAATCTTTATCTTAATCGATTAAATCTTCAACAGAATTGAAGGGAAAGGGGCACTGCAAATATGAAGGGCGTTTGCAAATATGAAGATTTAATCGATTAAGTTGAAGATTTAATCGATTAAGTTGAAGATTTAATCGATTAAATCTTCAAGTCAACGATTTTTGTCAGTTTTGACCATTTAATCAATTAAATCTTCAACTTAATTGATTAAAGAAAGACAGTTTGGTAGATAGTTTTCAATACGGGACAAAATGATTATTAATTAATTAATAAGGAGCAAAAGGGTTAAAAAGGGCTATTTGACCATTTTGCCCCTCATTAATTAATTAATAACCATTTTGCCCCTGATTCGAAACTATCTATCAATCTGCCCCTCTTTAATCGACTACTTTGCATGTTTAATCGACTAAATGGTTGTTGGGAGATTTAATCGACTAAATCTCCCTACTTAATCAATTAAAATCATACTGACTTTTTTTTGGGTCAAATATGGAGATTTAGTCGACTAAATAGAGAGATTTAGTCGACTAAATCTCCCAACAGTCATTTTTTGTCTGTTTTGGCCATTTAGTCGATTAAAAATGCAAGGTAGTCGATTAAAGAGGGGCAGATTGATAGATAATTTCGAATCAGAAGCAAAATGGTTATTAATTAATTAATAAGGGGCAAAAGGGTAAAAAAACCGGTTAAAAAGCCCATCTATTCCACTATTCACAAATCTGACCAGTGACTGTTCATGGGTCTTGGGTGGCTACTGGCTAGCAATTTGCATGACAGAGCGACTGAATTGCATTTGGCGATTTAAGGGATAACTAGGATGAGAGATCGCCTCTGAAAAGAGAGAGACATGAAAGATAGAAAAATAAAAAAAGAATAACAATAATTAAGTGAGGAGCTCTAACTTTTTTTCTCCTTTGCTAGATGCCCTCCCCCTTTGCACTATGAAGTCAGTACTTATCCATCATTTTCTAGATTTCCAACTATGGAGACCATCCATACTCCCCTTTCAAGAATCATGTCCCTCTACTTCATGATCATTGTTCAACAAAGAAAAGATTTGTTTGTAGGAAAAGGATTGAAGACTTCGATTGCCGAATTATAGTTATAATTAATACTAAAATATGTATAGCTCGAGAAATTAGATGACGATCTAAAGTTGGGGTTACGTGGTAACTATTTCCATTATTGAAATAAATCAAGAAAAAAGAAAAAGAAAAGATAGTCCGGCAAGTCTCACTTTTATACAGCTATTACATAAAGTGGTTTATTTTTTATTTTTTTATAAACCGCAATTATCCTTTCTGAGAGTAAATCCTATTCAGGACAGGTCCAGAATTGATATTTTAAAATTATCCCAAAAATAATATTAGAAAGTATCGATCAGATGTTTATCTCATTCTCACATGCTCAACTCCCATGTACTAACTGAGCTATCATTATCTAATAATTTCGTTTATTTTTATTAGCTCAAATTGTGCTCCAAATAATCCGATATATGGTGAGAGGGGAATCTCAATTTGTAACAAGTGCATAGCTAAGCATGACCATTCCTTATATTTATGTTAAACTAACCTACTAGTTATAAATCACCGGACATTAAGGATGTATTTCATGGCACAATACAAATACATACTATGGTACAACATAATTATTGAATTATAAGTTTTTTTTTTTTTTTTTAGTTATTGATTTGATAACTAGTGTATATGACTAAAAATTTCATGATATTTATGTATTAATACACATAAGTATGATAGAAAAATATCAATCTGTTTTAGCAACTGCCTCTTTTATATAGCAAATAAAACTAATTAATAATAAAAAGGAAGGCAATTTTTTTATAAGACTTCATATCAAAATAAAACTAAGCTACTAACTAACGTTATGACAAATATTACAGAAACTTGAACCTCACACTAGCTTGCAACAACATCAGGAACATCATCTATTAGCCAAAGGAAACCAACGCTCATGGAAAGAAGACTGATAAGCCATCATGAATAGCAAGAACACAAGTACCAGTGCCACTCCCCATGGAGATCCTCCAGCCCTGTGCAGCGAGTCCCTCTCCTCCGGCAAGGGTATTGGGAATGATCCTCCACTTGAGAGACAGTGAACAACCAGCAACAACAGTAGTGGAACAAAAGCAAGCAAAATTTTCACCTGTATAAGCAAGTCCTCAAACACAGACTCGTAGTTTATGTACCACGAAAACGCCAACACAAAGAAAAGTATGAACATGAAGAAGCAAAGATGGACTGGGAAAGAGAAATACTCCCAGAAGTAGTACTGATTATAGTATCTGGCCATACGAGGGAAACTATATTGCTACTGTTAGTGAACTAGAGAAGTGGCTATGAATCAGATTTTGTTATGTACTAGCAGCTGTTTCAGATGTTCTGGGGGATTTGATTTGTAGAACCAAACTGTCTGGTCAAAAAGGTATATATAAGGATTCGGACTAAGTAGGAGGGTGTATAAAAAAAGAGATTATTTATTTTTCCATTTTATAGGGTGCTTTTTTTTTTAATATCTATATTATCCGTGGTTTTATTAATTATTCAATTAGTTCGAATTGGATAGGATTAATGGACCTTAAAATTTTTCCTTTCAAATTTTAACATAACTGTGTTTCTAAGAATTCCCAATGGTATAGAATTTTTTTTATTTCACATAATGTTTTATTTAATTATTTGTCATATAAAGATAAAATCACACTCTCCCACATTTAGTCTTCGAATAGAAGCAAAACCAAAAAAGAAAAGAGAATAAAAGAAAAGCAAAGATGCAAAGTGAAATATCTGTCAATTTTAGGATGGCTTTTCCTGCTTTAAAGAGAAATTAGAGATTCTACTTTTTTTAAATGCATCGAGATAGTCCCAGAGTGACGGTGAGAACAATTCATGGTTGAGATTCAAAATGGTGTCATCCAATAGGAGAATGCCATACGCTATGGACAATGGACCAGAACGTGTGAAGGTGAGAAAAGCAAGGAAGAAAAAATTTGAAACCATGATGAGGTGTGGTTTTAGATAAATCCGGTGGCAAAGTGGGGTCATATCATTGGGAGAGCTGCGTCTTGTTTATTGAACGGTCGGCCCCCATATTTCTATTATAATGCTTTATTCGTAGAGTTTGGCGAAGCATGTCCCCCCCTCCTTTACACAGTGTTTTTGTAGAAGATTTATTTTGGGATTGATAAGAAAGTGTAACTTGATATTAGAAAATATTATGTTTGGTTCAGGTTTTTTAAAAAAATACTAGGCAAATAAAATAATGGGGAAATGACTTTTGTGTTGATTTTTGAATGAAATTTACTATTACAGAATACCACTTGAGATGTGGTATTTTAAGATAATTGTGGAAGTAATAAAACAGGTGCGAAATTTCTTCCGAACATAAATTTTGCAAATTTAAATAAATTTCCATGGCAATATTTTGATCAACCAAACAACTTTTTTTATATTTTTCTACCAAACTCACTTTTTCAACTATTTTCTTAATAATTATATTTTCCTAGTATTCAAAAAATGTATGTTTCACCAAATGCTCCCTTAGCGTATCTTGCTGATAAAATTTGGTGGATTTGTATATTCCTATAATTATACACGTGTAGAGTGCATATTTTATTATCTTCCGTAATCATCAATTTCTCTGTTCCTTAATCGGCTATTTTCTTTTAAACGGGCTTTACTTATCATAGGTTGCAGCTGATAATTAAATTTTTCTACACATACAAACATCTATAGGTCCCATTGCTTTTTAAAACAAAAAAGAAAAAAGAAAAAGAATTCAATTTTTGATCAGTGTGCAGGAAATACTATTCTACTTCCCACTGCAGAAGAATAGTATTTCCGTTTCTTTTATGCATGAAATATTCTCGCAGAAGTAATAATGCATCATAGTATCTATGATTTCTCTTTAGTTTGGACCACTGTACTTTAAATCCGAAAGTATCACAGTAAAGGCTATATAATGCATAACCTGATCACCTGGTTGAAAGCACCTATTTCATTCATTTCGCTGAAAATGACTCCATACAAGCAAGGAAGTTTCATGTTTTGTTTTGTGATGTGACGCGGAAGATCTTAATCGATTCACAAATCAACCGTTAGTAATTAAAGTAATTTTTATTTTATAAATATAAAAAATCAATTCAATCTAAAAAATTAAACTATTAAGTAAGATTATATTAATAATTTTATTTTTCTTATACATTCCCTTGTATGAGGGTGAAATTAAACTGATGACCACTTAATTACGGAGGTTTTGAAATTATGTAAAGAATTAATTCAACCCAAAACTTAAGTTATTAGGTAATACCACATTAATAATTTTATACTTTTTTAACAACAATTTTTTTTTTATTAAAACTGTGACCACTAATTTATGAATAAACGACAGATATTTTGATTTAAAGGTAAACTAGACTTAAAATGGGTTTAATGTTTTTGTTGCAAAATTAATATTTCTGTCACATTCATGATTCTGTTTGGACGTTGAAATTGTGATTCTTGGTTTAGCAACTGAATTTAAGTATTTTGTGAAGTTGATTCATAGTTCTGCTTGAAAGTTAAAAATTAACAGGCTAACGGGTTAGATCAAGCCATTTGTTTTATTATAAACAGGCCAAGTCAGACTCGTACTTAGTTTGGCCAAACCAAATTGAATTTTTTTGACATAGACTTGAACTTTTTGAGGCAAAGCTTGGCTCAATCCAGCTCACTTACACCCTACTCGCAAGTTTGGGAAATGAAAATCAGAACCCGACTTGTAAGAAAATAGTAAAATCTGTACCTTACTTATCCTGTTTTATACCTATAAATATCTTCAATAAATCAGAAAATATTAATTACAATCTTAAAATTAATCTACGATTTCATATAAATCAAAAGACATGTTCAAGAAAAAGTATTAAATTAGTAAAATCCAATTATTTTTTACCAAAAAAATGTTACTCAACGTGAATACATTAACATTATTAGTATCTAAATTAAGCATTATGCTTATTTAGATGAGGAGTACAGGGCAAGGCTGAGCAAATTGACTTCAAACAAAAAACATAGCCTTTTCTCTCGGTGCTATGCTATTCCACCGAACCCCAGCCCACTTCATTGTAGCACATATTTCTAACCCAACCCAAGCAAAGTGGGACGCAGGTTGGGTACATGCGGGTCAAAATAAGATTACAAACCCTACTAAATATATTGTTCTAGAAAATAAATTTAATTTATTTCATTTTTATTTAATAATTAAAAGAAAATAAGATTTTTTAAATATATCATCATTTTTGTATCTTTTCTAAATAGAATGAGAAAAATTATTAATAGAGTGATAATATTTTGAATATTTCAATAAATAAAGTAATTTATTCAAATATAGATATATTTTTTGTAATTCAAATTATTTAATAACTTTCTTAATTCTTATTTAATTACCTTAAATATAGATATTTTTGAAATAAAAAATAAATCTTACAATATGTTGGTGTGTATATCTATAACTGTCGAAATACCTACACAAATATGAGCTACTACTCATTTATTCAATAGTAATAAATTAATAAAAATATTAAATAATTCTAACAAATTTTTTTAAAGAAAAATTGTTTCACTGAGTAGTGTTTCTGGGTTTGATTTCGATACTTCATTAAACAAAAAGATTATCGTATACTACTTTTTTTTCTCCCGAAAATTATACATATTTTTAATTTTATGTCAAATGTTGCAAACTCGGTAATAAAAATTAAGACTCGTACAAGTTATAAACTTTATTACACAATCTGTAATTTTAATTACTCAATTAATAACATTTATTATTTAATTTTTTAAAAGTAATGCTGTACTTTTTTTATTGAAAAAATATCCAAGTAAACTCACTATTTTTCCATGCATATTTGGGTATAGTGTATCTGTCCCTTTAATTTGACTTCTTAATTAGATGAAATTTATATATATATATATATATATATATATATATATATATATATATATATATATATATGAGGTAGGATTCTTTGATACCAGTGTCAAATTTCAATTTTGACCCTTCATCTGAGAGCCGTTAGATCAAAAAATATCAACGACTCTGATTTGCAAGCGTGTGACACCTTTGATCTTTTTTTATCTAACGGCTCTCATATGAGATGTCAAAATTAAAATTTGACACCGGTGTCAAATCCTACCCCCCTCTCTCTCTATATATATAGGCAGGATCCTTTGACACCGGTATCAAAGGAAAAGTTTGACACCTCATCTGAGAGCCGTTAGATTAAAAAAATAATAGTGTCACATGCTTACAAATCAGAATCGTTGATTTTTTTTAATCTAACGGCTCTCAGATGAGGTGTCAAATTTTTTTTTGACACCAGTGTCAAAGGATCCTGTCTCGTATATATATATATATAACCAGCTGCGATATTTAACAAGTAAACTTCATTTTACAACCTCCAAAAAAAAAGTAAACTTCATTTTACGAGGTTAACCCAGCTATAGAGACTAAAAAGGCCTCATAAAATTAATAAGAAACAGAGAAACATAGCTAAAACCTGCTAGCATTGTCATTTTTTGGAACTATAATTGACATAGAGATTTAAATCGAGTGCTTTTTGTCAACTGCTTAAACAATTCATTACTAGCCAATATCTTGTGGCTTAAGTCCTTGACCTTTTTGCAGAGAAAGGAAAAAAAAAAAAAACACGCTCACACCCCTAATTTATTATTATTATTATTATTATTAGTACTGAGATAGTTCGCAATTCGGTCTTAGATCGATATATGCTGACCCTTGTATTGTGATTTGTGACATAAAGCACAACGTTTTTGCTACGAAGTTTGGTCATCATGTTAGAACAACTTTACTTAAGAGAAATTTTTGGTTTAATTTTTGGACAGCACCTTCCGGCGAAGGATTAATCATTGCTTTACATGATTGATAATTGGAAAAGACAAGTACTAGCTTAATTAACGATTAGTATCACTAGATATAATGATTGAAATGAAAAATAAAACAAATATACTGTAGGAAATTTGAAATATATAGTTGTTATTAATGAAACTCTGATAAGTGGCGTAGGCACAAGACATGTGTCAGCTACTTGCATGGTTGACGAAAGACTATTCAACCTATGACAGACAGAGTACATGGCATGGAATATAGAGTCCATGTTTTATTTCTTATAGCTTACATATTAGTTACTACATGGATACTCGTCTGTATCAAGTTTCCGTGGTTTGTTTTCAGCAACATTTGCACCTACCTTGGTAGCAGCATCTCTTGCATCCACCACCATGTCCTCCTCCGCCCCAGCTTCCGCCATGTCCTCCTCCGCCCCAGCTTCCGCCATGTCCTCCTCCACCCCAGCTTCCACCATGGCCTCCGCCATACCCCCGGCCTCCACCATGTCCCCGGCCATCTAATCC